GGCTTACTCCTCACTGAAAAAATGAGCCTCAAACGCCCGGGCATACGTCCCGAATTGGTGGGTGTACGCCTCTTGAGACTTTCGCCCCACACCATCGCCCCGGGGCCTTTTTGGTACGCCTTGCCCTGGGGCTCGCCCCGAAAACACCTTTTAAAACACTAAGTTAGACTATGCTCCTATGTGGAACTAGACCAGTATTTGCAAGCAAATTCACAAGGGCAAAATATAAAATTGGCCGGTCAGCCGAAATTAATTGTACTCCCTAGTAAAAAAAAATATAATACTATATATATATATATTATCAGCTATTATTTTTTTGAGCGGCTAAAAATATATACATTCTCAATTCACAACTCCATCAATCACATCTATCACTGAATTTACATATTCGTTCATACTGATGCACAAGAACTACAATCGTCTCCGTCCTTCTTTAATTTAAAAAAAAGAAAAACTTAATAAACTACCCACAATTACAGAAAAGCCTGCTTACTTATTTTTGGTAAAATGGCATGTCATTCATTTAGGTAAAATGTAAGGATGTAAGATTTCTCGTCCCGCTCTTAATCTTTTTTTTTCCTTTCACTTTTTACTTTTTACGTTTTACCTTTTACAAGAATATACTGGCAATAATACACGACGCCCTTCTTTTAAGGCGGTTTATAAAAGAACATTTACTAACTAAATGTTAGTTATTGTTTATGAATTTATATAATTGGGAACATTGATAAAGCAAGTGGAAGTAATAAAATTGGGAACGTGTTCGCACATCTTTACATCAATCTCACTTATGTCCCAAAAGTCATAAGTCATAACATCTTTGAAGTTTTCCGCCCAACCAACTCAGAGGCCTGTGAATAAAAGGATGCTAGTTTTGGTAAGGTTCTAACATACACTGGCCTTCAATATTTGAACAGCAATTGGTGTGTTTGTAAATAACAACTACTCCCTCCCTCAGTTTACTTTTAATTGTCAAGTATTCTAAAAATAAAGTTTTATTTTTACTTGTCCTTTTTAACATAACAAGAGAAAAATAATTTATTTTTTTTATTTTACCCTTAGCATTAATTACTCATTCCAAATTATTCTCCAAATCCATTAAGACTATACACCAATTAATATGGATACCATGATAAACTATGCACTTTATTTATTATTTTCTTAAACGGTGTACAAAATCAATAGTGGACAAGTAAAAGTGAACAGAGAGAGTAGTACTCAGAGACCTGTATTTGAACATTTAACAATTAATTTAGTTAAGAGTTTAGCAAGCATGAAAAGTTCTCAACTTATTAAAGTAATAATCCACCAACTGAGACATTAAATACCAACAATTAAAGATAAATATTTGTTAACTGTGAAAAATCCTTTGCAACTTTATAACTATCTAGCAGGGATTTTTTGGAATCGTTGGTTGCAAATGTGACTAATAGGAGGTCTGAAATTATTTTTTGAATCCTCATGAATACTTCCGCTTTTATGTACTTTCTGACCTAAGGTGTTATAAGTTGACTTTAAAGGTCAAATTGATTAATTTTTAAGAGCATATTTCCCTTAAATTATCTGGAAGACATTATTAGGCTTTTATTTTATGGACGAATTTTATTTTTTCAAGGGATAACTATATCTTTATGTCCGTCTTCGAGCTAAAAAAAAGAGAGAAGAGAATAATATACTTCCTCTGTTTCAAAAAAATTGTTATTATTGGGAAAATCCACGAGGTTGTTCTTTGACCACATTGTTCTTAAATATTTTATAAATATTTTAAATTATGAATTATTATGACTTATAATATTTTTTTATATAGTTTCTAAAAATATAAATTTTATTTTCAAAAACTTGAAGAATTTATGCCCAAATTCATAGTCAAAGTTAAATACTTTGACCCATGCCAATATTTTTGAGATAGAGGGAGTAGTTATTTGTTATTCTTGGTAATGAGGACAATCGTTCTTTCTAAAGGAGGAAAGGTTACTCCTTTACCTTTGATCTGTTTTCCTACATGAATTTAGCTACATATGAGGCGTTCTAATCTAGTGAAGAGTTTGCCTCTCGCCATATCCATGGAGCAGACTCCCCTAATGGCCAACTCCAATAAGTTGCAAAAATATTTCCTTTTTCCCGTTGTTGGTCTTTTGGCTATCATCCTTGTAACTCATGGCCAGCCAGTTTTTGATGATCAATCAGGTAACTAATATTGAAAAGTTTTTCTTGTTTTCATGTGATTGTTTTAGTCACTGTAAAGTGTAAATCAATTAATTTTCTTGGGATTTATTTCTTTCAGGATTCGTGACTATCGACTGTGGGTTACCCAGAAAACTCAAGTCATCTAGCGAACATTTTTGAAGTTTTCCACTAAATTACACAAGCGATGAAGGGTGTGTTTGGTACGAAGGAAAATGTTTTCCATGTAAAATATTTTCCTAGAAAATGTTTTCTTGAAAAATGAGTGGTTTTATCACTTCTTTTTTCATGTTTGGTTGGTGAGTGAAAAACTTTTTTCGGAAAATATTTTCTAGTATTTGTTTAGAGAGTGAAAATACTTTTTAGAAAAATAATTTTTTTATGTTACTTCCTTTACCTCATTCCCCCAAATCTCCATGTTTCTTGTTCTCCCCCTCCCTCCTCCCCCAAACTCTAAACTCAACGTTTTCAGGACTCTATTTTCTTCAAGAATTTAATTATTCTTTTAAAAATCCACACAAACCCAAAAGGGACTAATGTGCTGCTTTACTTTTTCACTCAAAAACAACGTTGGAATTTGTGCTACATAACTTAAAAGAAAATAAACTTTTTGTGATGGTTTTTTCTCTCTCGATGCAAGTTTACTAACGTGCGCCGGCCATGGGAAAGAGAGCTCGAATTCCATCTCAGAAAGCTTGAATGGCTCAAGCAGCTAGCGCAAAAGACAACGTAACAAGAGGATCGAAAGCTAACCAAGCAAATCATGAAGGAAATTGGAGAGGAAGTGGGAATCAATGGAACGGTAACCCCAATTTTGGCCAAAACAATTGAAAACCTAGCAACGCCTTCCCAAATTGCAGAGATTACATTAACTTCAAAGACAACGAGACGAAATCAAAGTGAGAGTGAGGGGGAATCTGCGGTGCCTCCAATTGCTACAGAGGTAACACAAATTAGGGTTGGCTCTGTTGATAAGAAACAAGCTATACGTCAATGGACAGAGATTGTGCAAAATTCAACTGATAAAGGAAAAAACGTAACAACGATGGAAGGAAGAAAGTCATGGGCCGATGAAGTCGAGGAGGAATTGAATACACCACCTCCAAAAGGATCAATATGGGACAAGTTTGACATAATTAAGATCAACAAAGCTGGTTTCAAGCTGCAATTTGTTGCTCCGGTTGTGCATGGCGAGTCTTCGATCACTGATATAGAGCTGGATGATATAGCAACTGAAATTGAATACTGGAGTTTTGTTGTTGTATGCTATGTATTGGGAGCCCATCCCCCGTTTGAAGTAATCAAAAGTTACATCCAGAGGTTGTGGGGTAAGCATAGAATTAGTCAAATTGCTATGCTTAAAAATGGCATCATTTTGGTGAGATTTGATTCTGTTGCTGAAAAGAATGATGTTTTACAAGGGAATATCTTCCATTTTGACAATAAGCCACTTATTGTCAAAGCTTGGAACCCTGACATGGAGTTCTCCAAAGAGGAAATTCAGACTGTTCCTATATGGATCAAGCTGCCTGGCCTAGACTTCAAGTACTGGAGCCCAAAGGGACTGAGCAAAATAGGTAGTTTAGTGGGCAAGCCACTCATGGTAGATCAGAATACAGAGAAAAAGGCTGGATTGAACTTTGCGAGGTTGTTGGTGGAAGTAGGCATGGATGTAAAGCTACCAGATACATTAGTATTTAGGAATGAGAAAGGATACCTGATTGAGCAGAAAGTTCTTTATGATTGGAGACCTACTCTATGCAAATTTTGCCATCAGTATGGGCATGACATTGCAAAGTGTAGGAAAAATAATTATGTGACTGAAAATAAAATAATAGGGGAACAAGATGAGGCTGTTCAATTGAAGCAAGGCATAGATCCTACAAAAACTCAAAAAGAGAGATTGGGGGCTGAGGAGCAGACTAAAAAGCCACCTGTAGGGAAACAACATGGAGATGCTAACAAGGAGAATCAACCACTAAAGTTAGTAGTGAAGGAACAGAAGGATCAAACTACAACAAGTTGGATTACCCCTAAGAGTCAAGCTAGAAAACAATTTAAGACTCAACAATAGTTGGTTGGGAATAACTCCTTTCATGTGCTGCAAGAGACAACTAGCAATGCTGACAATAGGATTGGCCAAGATGGGAATGAGGGTGGTCGAACTATTCCGATATCTGGGAATGGTTAGGATCATGTGTTGGAATATAAGGGGGCTTAATGCCCCTAATAAGCAGAGGGAAGTTAAATCTCTTTGCAGAAATGAGGAAGTAGGATTAGTGGGATTGCTGGAGACTAAAGTTAAGAGAAATAAGATTGTTGACATAGCCACTAAAATATTTGAAGGGTGGCAATATATCACTAATCTAGATGCTCATTATAATGGGAGAGTGTTAATTGGATGGAGACCAGACTTCTACAATATTGTTCCTATCATTATAGATGCGCAGATAGTGACTTGTGAGGTTAAATACATCCCCACACAAATAACTTGTATTATCTCCTTTGTATATGCCTTTAACACAAAAGAGGAGAGGAAAACACTATGGACTGAGTTAATAACACAAAGCAACAAGAGTGGGTTGCCTTGGCTTGTGGTTGGGGATTTCAACTTAGTGTTAAGTAGTGAGGATAGACTAGGAGGGAATCTTGTTACATGGGAAGAAGTTATAGATTTCAAAACCTTCTTGGACACCTGTGGTTTGATGGAGTTGGCACATGGTGGCCAGAGATATACTTGGAATGATAAAGGCTCTGACTAGAGAGTATTCTCAAAAATTGACTGGATGTTCATCAATGCTGAGTGGCTACAAAATATGCCCATTTGTAAGGCTGTTTACTTACCTGAGGGTATCAGTGATCACTGCCCAATAAAGATTACATTTGATGATAATAGTAGAAAACCAAAAAGAACTTTTAAATATTGTAATGCATGGTCTGAGCATAAACAATTTCTGAAGGTGGTTGAAGCAGGATGGAATATACTGATAGATGGTTGCAAAATATTTCAGGTGGTAAGGAAAATGAAGATGCTAAAAAGAGAATTGAAGAAGCTAAATACTCAAAGCTTCAGGAACATAGTATCTGAAGCTAATGAGGGCAGAACTGCTTTGCAGAATATCCAAGAGCAGCTTCATCTTGATCCAGATAACCTTGAATTACAACAAACTGAAAGAGAGAAGTATCAAAAACTCGAAAAATCTTCTTACTTAACAGAAATCTATTTGCAGCAAAGAAGTAAGGCTAACTGGATAAGGCTTGGTGATGAAAACACCAGGTATTTTCATTCAGTTATTAAACATAGGAAGTTGAAATAAGTCATCACACAGCTGAAGGATGTTGCAGGATGTATGCAAACAGAACATGAAAACATAGCTAAGATCTTTGTGCAGTACTATAAAGACCTTTTAGGGAAAACACGTGAAGAAAGAGTGAACACTTTTTGAGGATTCCTCAATAATGGTCCCTTATTAACAATTGACCAGCAAATAAGGATTTTGGAGCCTTTCACCATTGAGGAGGTGAAAAAGGCAGTGTTTAGTATTGATATCAATAAGAGTCCTGGGCCGAATGGATATGGGAGTGGCTTCTATAGAGCTGCATGGAGGGTCATAGGTAAGGATATCACTGAGGCGGTACTGGAGTTCTTTCAAACTGGACAATTGCTGAAACAAATCAATGTCACTAATATTGCCCTTATACCAAAGGTGACTAACCCTGAAAATACAAGTCAATTCAGGCCAATTGCTTGTTATAATGTGATATATAAGGTCATCTCAAAGATGATTTGTTTGAAGTTAAAGCAAGGTGTGAGTCAGATAGTTGCTGAGAACCAAACAGCATTTATACAAGGCAGAACTATGGTTCATAATGTGCCAATATGCCATGACATTCTCAGGCACTATAATAGGAAAACTACTCATAGGTGTCTTACGAAGATTGATCTCAGGAAAGCTTATGATATGGTGAGTTAAGAGTTTGTGTAAGAAGCACTGCTAGGGTATGGTTTTCCAGTGAGGTTTGTTAGGCATGTGATGGAGTGTGTCACATCTCCAAAGTACTCTATAATAGTTAATGGAGAGGGACATGGCTAATTTAATGGTAAAAGGGAACTGAGACAAGGGGATCCCATGTCTCTCCTTTTATTTGTATTAGTCATGGAGTACCTGTATAGAATACTCAAGTATATGAGTGACTTACCTGATTTCAAATACCACCCAATGTGTAAGCACCTAAAGCTTACACATTTAGTTTTTGCTGATGACTTGATGATATTTTGTAAAGGCCAAGAGAAATATATTAGGAGAGTTATTGAGGCTTTAAATCACTTCACTAGGGTTACAAGATTGATAGCAAACATGGAAAAATCAAACATCTTCATAGCAGGAGTAGATGACCATACAAAGGCAACTTTACTAAGCATCACTGGATTTTCACTAGGGACTTTTCCTATAAGGTATTTGGGATTATCAGTTTCTCCTAAAAAAAGAAACAAACTAGAATGTCATCAGCTGATTGATAAGATTACTCAGAAAATTCAGAATGGGTATGCTAAATAGTTGTCCTATGCTGGAAAGTTACAAATCATCAATGCAGTGATATTCTCTATTCATAATTTCTGGGGTGCTGTATTCATATTGCCTCAGAGTTTCCTGAAAGAGGTAGATAAACTTGTAGGGAGTACTTATGGGGGGCACTGAGAGGAAGAAGAAACCTCCACTTGTATCTTGGGATAGAATAAGTGTGCCAAAAAAGTATGGAGGTCTCAATATCAAAGGATGCAGGAATTGGAATATTACATCTATTGGCAAATTAATTTGGCAATTGGCTGAAAAACAGGATTCTTTGTGGATTAAATGGGTTCACGACTTATATATGAAGAATGATAGCAATATATGGATGCATAATCCCCCCATGGATTGTAGTTGGTATTGGAAGAAAATAAATTTTATCAAAAGCAGTATGATCAGTTGGTTTACTAATGGCAGATACATACTGAGTTCAATAGGAAGATACTCTATTTCCCTCAGCTATAATGCCCTTATAGGCATGAAAGTAAGGTGGAGAATTAGTGAACTAGTCTCGATAGCTTTTGCACAACCAAAACATAGATTCATTCTATGGCTAGCAGTGCGAAATAGGCTGCTAACAAAGGAAAGGCTCAGCCACTTGAACATTCCAGTAGATAGCCCTGCGTGCAGTTTATGCTCAACTCAAAGTACATAAACTTCCTTACATTTGTTTGCAGATTGTGAATGGTCTGGTAAGCTACGACGTACATTGAGAGACTGGTTGAGTATCTAGATCCAAGCTGGAGAGGTGAAACTAGTGATGGAAACAATCAGGAAGAAGCATTGACATAAGATCACAAAGAAGTTAATAGTAGCAGTCTGGGGAGCAATAATTTACCATACATGGAGGGCGAGGAACTTGATCATTTTCAGAAGTCAAAATGTTCATATTGAGACAGTTATAGATCAGATAAAAAAAAAATAGTAGATAGAGTAGAATTCCATAGTGTGTCAAGAAAAGCTAGAAATAGGAATGATATCTTACAAAGAATTCTATGTACTTAGTTTTATTCTAGAGGCCTAAAATTTCATACATTAACCTTCCTCGAAGGTAGATGTGTGTTTAGGTGCTCTTTAGGTGTATTGATGTTTACGTTGGCTGGTATGGTAATAATATTTACAGTTGTTACCAAAAAAACTTAAAAGATAATACTCTTTTTTTTGGTTGAAAAAGAAAGTACTTTTTCTACAACATGAAAAAAGTATTCATTTTGTTAAAATGAAAGGAAATATTTTTTTCACATCATGAAAAGAAAATACTCATTTTGTTGAAATGAAAAAAAATACTTTTTACTACATTATTTTGTTGAAACGAAAGAAAATACTTTTTCTACATCATAAAAGAAAGTATTTTTTTTTGTTGAAATGAAAGAAAATATTTTTTTATATCATAAAAAGAAAATACTCATTTTGTTGAAATAGAAGAAAATATATTTTCTACATCATAAAAAGAAAGTGATTTCAGGTAGTCCTCCCTTTAGACGACCATGTGTCATATCATACTTCACCATATACAATTAGCCCCCCTGCTTTCCGATGACATAATTTTGTGTTACCGGAAAGTTGGTAGAAACACCTTTTTAGCGAAAATTACTATAACTCCCTCTGAAGGTTCCTGACAGTTGATTAGACGCACGTCTCTCCGCATGTAATGCCCGAACACGCGTCATCCCATGATCGTGTCCTCCTTTAATGTCAATTATGAGGGTCATTGATAAAGACAGAACGGTGAACATAAATGCCAAATTCTCTGTAACGGACCGTCGCTTTTAATGCTGTAGAATATCCCCTATTAAATGCTACGGGTATAGAGCATTTAACACACCTTTATGAACGTTATCCTTTCTGATGACAAGCGGAATGGCTACGTTCGATCTTCGGCCATCCCCGTCTTGGGTTTCACGTGTCCTCCCTTTAGACGATCACGTGTCATATCATATTTCACCCTATACATAAGTCTCGTATTTTTCCTAAGAATAACGAAATGTAATTTAATTTTTAAACAATAGCCACGAGTACATTGACAATTGGAGTCTAACATCGTTATTATTTTTGTTTATTTGACAATTGAAGTCCATCAATTCCACGTTGAAGGTTAAAGAGTAAGGACAAATACTACGAATTTGCGACAACAAAGGATAAATAACCGAAAATATAATAGTCGGTCAGATTCATTATTTACTTTTTCTATCCGATATATAAATAGATTATATATTGATTACACAATTATATGCATATTATACATGAAATTTACATATACATATTCACTGACTATTTTTTTTCCTACAAAAAATTAGGTAAACAGTTATTTGAGTTAATTCTTGATATAAATACTATTCAGAGTAAAATTAGAGAGCTATTTTTGTCTCGTAGAAGTCTAAATTTGGACATTAATTTTCCCTTTAATAGGTATCACTAGCACTTTTCTTCTTTCTTTCACTCAGATACGTATTTGACGCTTATGATCGAATATGGGAAACGTTTCAACGATCACAATGGCAGTGATGGACCCAGGATTTTATGCAAGCGGGTTCAATCTTAGAAGTACGTAATTTTAATCGTAAAATAGTAATTGTATAGTGGGTTTAATCGTAATTTATACAAAAATTTATGCAACTTCTAGACACATAATCTCCGCAAGAAGAGAAGTTGACGGGGATGTTGAGAAGGAATTTTACACGCCGAACCTTGCGATGGGGACGGCAGCAACGCTACGAAATTCAAGTACCTTGACTCTTTCATGGGGTCCTGCTGATCCCGAAATCGAGTACTACACCTACTTGCATTTTGCTGAAATTGTGAGCGCGGAGCCACAATGAGTAGTTTTTGTTCAAATTCTGTATTTATATTAAAAAATTTAATAAATATATACAAAATATTAATTTAGAACCCACTAACTTAAAAGATTATACTTTCGAACCCATATGGATCAAATCTTAAATCCACCTCTGATTGTGAGCCTAAACCCTAACCAGAGCAGAAAATTTGATGTCGTTATTAATGATGAAACTGTGTGGGCAGAATTTGAGCCAGAGTACTTGACCACTTTTGTCATGGAAGATAAGCGAATGGCTAGCAAATTCAACTGCACGTTGCGTCGAACCAACAATTTGACGCTACCACCGCTTATTAATGAACTTGAGGTTTATTCTTCTAAAAGGTTATTGAAGCTTCATACTGATGAAAATGATGGTGCGTATACTGTTCTGTCTCCCCAGGATCGTTTTTAGATTAAGATTGCTTAAGCGTTGTTGTTATTTCAGCTGTTGATTACTGGAAAGGATCACATTTTAATTGGGCTACACATTGTTATTTCAAACATTATGAAAGATGATGTCCGGGTCCTTTCAAATTGTGCGTAACAGCAATATATCTTAATCTACAAATGGATGAACTTCTTTCTGATATAATTAGACTGATCACTTGGGGAAGTTGAAAATTTGATATTCATGATCTAATAAAATCTTAGAAAGGTAGTAGCTTTGTTACCCGAAATGTATTAAAACAAAAGGGAAGTTAATTTTAATGGACAAATCCACCTCCTTGTTTACGAAAATATAGTTTTGATATCTAAAATTCGAGAGGAGGCAGCTTACCTAAAAATTACGTGTTATAAGCTAAAATCTCAAATAAGGCAACTATAATTTGCCTATTAAGCATAGGTAGGTCTAAGATTTATATTTGTTGAGTTCAATATTTATGTTCGCAAAATATCTTGTGAAAATATCTGCTAAATATCTTGTAAGAGAAATATTAATCCCTCTGGATAATTTACTAACATAATATCATAGAGCAAAAGGTTTAACAAACAATTTGGTTTCCTTTTCATGTTCTCTTTTGTTTATCCCTACTCTGCTTTATTTGAGTGTAGTTGATGCAATCATGGATATTAAGGCAACTTATGATGTGAAGAAAAACTGGCAAGGAGATCCATGCTTCCCGAAAGATTACACATGGGAAGGTCTTCGCTGCAATTACAGTTCCAGCAGTTGTACCCGAATCATAGGCCTGTATGTTTTCAGTACTAATTATATCATTTGAGTTGCCCAATATATTTTCCAGTTGCAGAATAAATTGGATGAGGAATAAGTTTACCCCTAGGTGCTTTCAAAATAAGGTATCTTTAAGCTCTTCTAAATTTTACTGCTAAATGTTCAAAACTCTTTCCAGGGACTTGTCCTCCAGTGGATTAAATTTAACTATCATATCAAATTTAACTGCTTTACAGTACTTGTAAGCTTCCCCAAACCTGAAAAAAGAATTAAAATCTATGAAGATTCAAGATTGACAAAAAAAGGATCATAGTTCAAGAGAATGAAGTGATTTTGATAATCTCAGGGATCTATCGGACAACGATTTGACTGGTCCAGTGCCTAGCTTTCTTGCTGGATTTACATCCTTGAGGTTCCTGTAAGTCCTATTTGTACTTCCTTCTTCATCTTGGTTTCATGGTCATTTTTAATCTGATGAATAAAGTATCTTTGCTATTTTTATTTAGAAACTTAACTGGGAACAAGTTCTGGGGTTCAATTCCAGTTGAGCTTTCTGAAAAAGCAAATAATGGAGTCTTGTTGCTCAGGTATGCTGATAAATTTCCATATCATCATTTAGTAGTACTAGTTTATACGTGGAGGACTACTATCTTCCCTATTATGTCTTCTTTTTTTGTTTGCGCAAAACTTACTTTAGTTTCCACTAGATAATATGCTCTACACATAGCTAAATATTGTACTCTCTATCGCAGTTAAAATGAGTTTATGCTCAGACTGAATTCGTGAAGGATATGGTTCTGCTTCTCTTTTGTCCCTTTCCTTCAATCAAACAGAAACAATGCACAGCGCTAGTGCCAGCAATTTATAATGCCTATGCCAGCCGATGGGCTTATCTTTTAATTCTCTTAGGATTTCGTCTATCTCCACACGTCTAACTAAGATTAGAGCAAAACATCGCGAAAATTCGAAGGAAAAAAATCAAGCCAGGTACTAAGGTTTAGGTGTTCTTCTATTAGGCCCCTTTCAAGTTCCATGTTATGCAATAAAAGTAACAAGTCTGGTTGTTTTAGAATGGTTTTCTGGTTAAAGGTGCTTCTGACTGGGATTAGGTTCAAGCAGAGGGGAGGTATTATTCCTGTTATAGTGTAATGACCTTTCACTTGGATTGGTTCCTTCCTCAAGTGTCAAGTCCAAAAATGCTAAAAGTAGTTTTTTTCTTCTTTTGTGGGGTTTGATTAACTAAGTATCTTTCTCTTATTTAAATAGAGATATTGTTGATAACTCTTGGATAGAACCTTTGTTCATTAGTCTATGGAGTAATACACCTTTTTTCAACAGCATGGATGGATTTGTAGCCCGAAATCCAAATCGTTGTCAATCAGTTGAATGTAACAAAAAGAAGTTTACAGTTCCAGTAGTTGCATCAGCAGCTGCATTGTTGATACTCTCAATTGTGGCTATCACTATTTGTTACGTCATGAAACGCAAAGGTATGCTGTGTACAAGTTTCTTTTTGTTCTTATCATTCTCAAGGTGAAGATTTTTTCACTGAATTACGACAATGTTTCTATAATCAGGGAATAAAAGGGTCAAGTCTTTTGAGTTGAAAAGCCAGCGATTCTCATATACTAAAATAGTGAGTATGACCAACAACTTTGAGAATATTCTAGGCAGAGGTGGACTTGGGATAGTATACTATGGCTACTTGGATGGCAAAGAAGTTGCTGTGAAGATGCTTGCTGAGACTGGTTACAAGGAATTTCAGCTTGAGGTTTGAACTTGGCCCTATTGAATACATGAATTCTCTTTAAACAACAATTTGTAGGATCTGTATAGACTTACAGAAACAGCGGAACTAATCTATATTAATTTCATATCTGGTTTTGTAGGCTGAGCTACTGGGAAGAGTTCATCACAGAAAGTTGATTTCACTTATTGGGTACTGTTATGAAGGTGCTTATATGGCACTTGTGTACGAGTACATGGCAAATGGGACAGTGAAGAGCATCTCGATGGTGAGAATTGACAATTTTCATGTTTAAATCTTCTTAGTCTTTTCAAATGCTTCTGACTAACTAACAAGTAAGTTTTCGCTCTTTCTATTTCCATTAAGGCCACAATGTGATAAACTGTTTGACAATGGACTATATCTTCAAACCGAGGAATATGTGGTTATTCAATGATACTTCGTTTGCTCCTGAGTATTTTGTTCCGTATGTTTCATAGCCAATGTCACTTCAAATCATCTAAAAGAAAAATCCTATTTTACGTAATATTTCTATCCCTTATTTTCTTTTAATTGGACCTGTTCAACCCTGAAATTGTTGTCTAAATATTCCTGAGCCTGTTCTCATATTCAACTGATAGTATACAATTCCTGATACATCAAGCAATTGTGTTAGAGCAGCTTAGTTTGCTGATGCAAGTCATAGTCAAAAATCACTGAGTTGGATTGAGAGACTTCAAGTTGCCCTGGATGCAGCAGAAGGTAAGCAAACATCTCTCACAGTGCTTTTCCCCCCCCTCGTGTACCTTATCTCATTTTCTTCTTCTGCTTCTTCATGTTGTATAGTACTCCTTAGTTCTTTTGTTTCTTCTTCTATTTTTCTACCATATTACTACTTCCGTTCCAGTTCATGTGAACCTATTTCCTTTCTGGTCCGTTCCAAAAAGAATGACCCCTTTCTAAATTTGGAAACAATTTATCTTAAACTTACAACTCTACCCTTAATGAGAAGCTTTTATAATCACACAAATACTCTGGGCCCCTTTTTGACTTGTTTAGGACCACAAATTCCAAAAGTTTCATTTTTTCTTTAATTCCGTGCCCAGTCAAACAGGTTCACATGGAACGGAGGGAGTAGGTCTTTTCTTTATTTTTTACTGAAGTTAACGAGGACTTGCTAGGTTTGGATTATCTGCATAATGCTTGCACGCCGCCTATTGTCCACAGAGATGTTAAGAGTACCAACATCTTATTAGATGAAAATTTCCAAGCAAAACTTGCTGATTTTGGAATTTCCAGAGCTTTTTCGTTAGATGAGAGCTCTTTTGTGTCAACAGCAGTTGTTGGCACCATCGGTTATCTTGATCCTGAGTAATAAGTTTTACGATCTGCATTTTTCACGCTTTGAATTGACCATTACAATAAATTATAAATAACCTTATGTAATAGGTTAAATTACACTGATGGTATATAATTCTTTACACCGTCAGTGATTATGAATTAAATCCTGACCGTCCTAGCCATTCTTGGCTTGCAGGTATGCTCATTTACAGAAGTTGCATGAAAAGAGTGATGTTTATAGCTTCGGAGTCGTGCTTTCTGGAACTAGTCACAAGACAGCCCCCTTTGGTAACAAGCAAAAACTTTCACATTGTATAAGGTCGAAATAGGTTTCGGCCTTAGCACGTCCGATCGAGTTCGAACGATGATCTATCGAAGTAAGACCCCGAAGGTGGAACAAACTAACCTCGAACCCGGAAGGCCAATCCGTGTCGAGTTCGATATCATCATCAAGCTCAAATCGAAATCGAACCATGATGCAGAGTAGATCTATCATACTGATAATCCAGAGACCAACCAGCATTGACCTCGAATCAATTCGAGGGCTCGAGCCAGGATCGGGCTCGAACCAAGATCACGAGTTTGAGCTAAAATCAAGCTCAAACCAAAATCGAGGGTTCTAAGCAAGATCGAGCTCGCAGACAAAAGCCATTGCAATCCCACTAGAGAGAATCTTGGCAGAAATCATGGAAAAACTGACTTATCATGGGTCTCCCACTGAATATTTATTGTATTATGCTTAGAGCCAAATCCACTATAAAAGGGGTTGGTTACCATTTCTGTAAAACAAGTTTTCTCAGGCTTACATTGTAATAAAAGTGATATATTCTTCTACAGTAAAGAATCGTTCTTTCAGATTTCTTAGATTGATTCTATTTGTTGAATCCTAAGATTCATTGTTCCTGATAACCTTATCTATTTTGCATTCTTTGCAATCTATATTTACATTTCTATTTATCCTTACATTTTGTGTTAAGTTACGCCACATATCCTCGGAACTGCGTATAAATTCAACTCTATCCATTTTTCGGGTAAACACACATAACTCAATGGGTTGGTCTTTCCCTTACCACCGGTGATGTTGCCGATGTTATTGACCCCAGGCTAGAGGGAAGCTATGATAGTGAATTGGTGGAAAAATATGTAAGATTAGCAATCAGTTGTTGCTCACCCTCCTCGGCTAATAGGCCAACCATGCATTATGTGGCTAATAAACTGGAGCAATATTTAGAAGCAGTAAAAGGGGTTACTAAAGGCAGAGAGTTTGATTCAGAATATTCAACTTTAACAATCCCTGTGCTTCTTGATAGCAAACTCTCAGACAGGTTTTGATTTTAATTTACAGGAGTCTGCAATATCAGGACTTGTTTTGAGACATTTTTTGATTTTTTGTTTCTTATTTCCTTTTTATTCATATCTTTGACTTGTAATTGGTATATCTTGTCTTTGTTAAATAGTGTAATTCATTATTTTTGCATTGTACTTTCTTTTTTACTCCCTTCGTGTAGCCAATTACCTAGGAAGATAAAGGCGCTTCCATATATTCCTTGTCAAATCCGAATCAAGAAAGCTGCTTTTCTCTCTGGTCAGTCAGTAAAGTTTTAGTTCAAATAAGGTAAATTTCTCATAACCCTTTTGGAGACGATCACCTTTTTGTATTACTACTTGAGTAGTGATTACTTGGGAAGATATTTATACCTTTTGCCCGGAAGGGTGTTGACTAGTGGTCAATGAAATGGACTGAGCCCGGATAACTTGGTCATCAAAGAAAAATATATGCTACCTCCGTTCCAGTTTATGTTAACCTATTTTCTTTTTGGTCCGTTCCAAAAAGAATGACCCTTTTCTAAATTTGGAAACAGTTTTGCTTAAACTTACAATTTTACTCTTAATAAGATGCTTTTATAACCATATAAATACTCTGAGCCCCCTTTTCAATTGTTTATGACCACAAATTCCAAAAGTTTTATTTTTTCTTAAACTCCGTGCCCAGTCAAACAGGTTCACATAAATTAGAACGGATGGAGTACGTATTAACACGGTTTTGTATTGGATTGTTCAATTTTTTGTTTGACACCTGCTGATGTCCATCGATGAAATTCCCACGACTAGGTTCGAATACATTAACCTTTTAATTGTGTTAAATCTTACGACTTGAACAAAAGAGTGGTTACGACTTATAGAATCATTGAAAATCACTTGAATGTAGCGCAACCTGTACTTGCACTTTAATTACTACATATTCTCAGTATTTTTCACTTAACCATAGTAAATTACTATTATAACTTTGTGTATGTCACACCCCTTTTCTACCCCAAAAAGATAATGTGAGTTGATTGTGGGTTAAAGAGTTTTTCCAATTAAAGTGACAAACTTGAGTAGAGATTATTTTATTGTTCAGAGTCGCCACTTGGGATTGATTTTTTTTGGGTGTTCCAAGTCACCTTTTATTTGAATCCCTAGTCGAATGAAGGTTTGACTCTATTATTATTGGTCTGCGAAAACAAAGTTAAGGTAAGGAATTCTGTTGACCGGGAAGAAGGTGTAAGGCATTTTCCGAGTCCCGTGGTTTTAGCACGGTCGCTTTATTGACTTAAAACTTGGCTTGAATTAATTTTGGACAAACTGTGATTTA